AAATTGTTTGCATAACAACATGTACCGTTACCCCAGGACTTGCCTCTGTGGATAGAATTAACTTGTCACGGCATAAACAAGGCCTTCTCTCAAAGTCTCCCTCAAAAACCAGTTATGTATTTTGAAGGGAAATAGGGGAATGGGGGAAGGGGGGATGGGCTTTGAGGGGGAGAAGGTTAGCGGTGCCAGAAGATGCTTGTTTCTGCAGCTTGACACGTTTGAATGGAGGGCCGTCCTCAATGTCTTTCCCACATGTTGGCACTCTCCTGGTGGAGAAAGTCTCTCCTCTCAATTTGTTCTCCCACTTTCCCTCAAGGCTATAAATTTTAGCTGATTGGGACCATTTTTTCTCTCCTTACTACAGGGTCTATACACTGGTAACTGTCAAACTGGATTTGTGGGGTATGGTTTGAATTAGTCCATTTTTTACTGTGAGAAACTTTGCATTCAACATGTGGTGGACTTGGAACTGAGGTGGACAGATCTTTCCACCTCCTACCGTGACCATTCTACCAGCTGGGAGTCCTTGAACTAACCTTTCTGAGGCACTCTATTGTTCCCCAGAGAGTTATGGGTAATTCCAAGGTGTCATTCACCTGTCTCGGTGGTACCCATCAGAAATTACCAAGATCTTAAAAACAAACATAAAAACTTGATTTTATTCACCTCCTTTAAGCCAATAGTTTTAAATTTTGATGGTTTCTTTAAAAAACACTTGCACAAAACTAATAAATGACATTTCAAATTTGTGTAAAGAAAATATATATTTGTTTCTGTATATGAGTCATATGTTTGCCATTCAAAACAGAAGTTCACAAAATAAAACAAAGATCTGCTTCTGTGCAGAATAACGTTTTTGGTATCTTCTATGTTTGTATAACTAATAAATGGATTGCAAGTTGTTGAAACGGTTTAAAATTTTCACACAAACTTTTATTTCAAACTATTTTATATCGGATAAAATAGTATATTGAAATACTTTTTTAATCTACATTAAATTTCTGCGGTATCAATTTTTCAATTCATTTCAAAAAGTTTCATGTAGTTTTATTAAAAAAAAATCTTATTTGAAATAATCAATTTTCATTCGATAAAATCCATGAGATTGTAATTTAACCAGAGGCAGCAGAAACCATAAAATAGTTACAGCCCAATCTTAATTGCAGATGTGTGCCAGAATGTTGGTATTAATTTGTATGTCGTAATTACAAGGTTGCTTGATTGCATTTTCAGTGTAAAATTGTGTGTATGTCCCACGCTTCCTTGACGAGATGTAACCATGAATCTCCTAGGATTAAACTTCCTTAATTAAAACTGTGTTTTAAAATGAAAATTTTAGGAGGGAATATTTAGAAAAGTGCCATGCCTAATTGACTTTAATGTTACGACATCTGTATGGTACATCTCCGGGGACTATGGTAACGTATGATAGATGTACTTGTTACAAATACCAAGTAAATTTGACAGAGCAGAAAACCAGTAAACTGTGGTCCCTCCCACAAACAATAGCTACCCTGGTGATTAGCATTACCCTAGGGATACGATGCCTGTTTTAATACCATGTTTCATATTTCTTATCTTTTGAATAAAATAAACAAAAAAAGGTCCAGCATTGTGTTAGAGGTTGAAAGCAATGGGGAATCGGGGAACTGATATGTCCATTTTGAAACCGAATGATACGCTGGTTTAGAGAGAATAGTAAAACGGAAACACTATGTCTAGTATACGGTGCACAGGCATATTGCACTGTTTCATGCTTATTTTCAGCTTGAAAAGACCACTTCAAGCTTTATTTGTAAACCTAATCCTCCATACATGATGGGGGGTTAATATGTCTTGAGATTGGGCAGATTAATTTTCATTATTAGATCATGAAACATATGTTTGTATGGGCTAGTTTAACAGATGCTTGTGTATAAACTTACCCGAGGCCAAGTCGTGTTTGGAGTCGCCCAAACCTAACCAAGGGGCCCCACAAAGGCAGAGGGGTTTGTCTCCGAGGGCTAATAGTATGTTTTCAACATGTTAACAAGAAAATAAAGAGAAAGATTACACCCAATTGGTGATGAAATCTACCAGAATTTAATGTGACAAGCAAAGCTTGCTTCGTATGCTGTTGTGTAGGGATGATATTCTCCTGCAGTGTGTCTAGTTTCAGGAGAATTAGTCTGCACTGTGCTATTTCCTTTGAAATCACATTTCCCATCTTCCTTGTAAATTGAACAGATATTTGATCTGTGACAGGTTTAATAGAGGTTTTGATGATATGCAGCCTCAGAAGCCACTATCATCGCCCCTATGTACTATAAACAAACACCTTTAGGTCTACACAGGGCCGTCACTCCCGCTTATTGGTACGGAGGCTGTCATCCAGTTATCACAGTCACTGTAGCCTCTCAGAACTAGTGCTTCAGTACTCTAGTAAGATACAATACTCTGGTGTTCTTCAATACTCCAGTATTATTCAGTACTGAAATTGTAACAAATACACTATTGTTCTGATACTCTAGTGAAATAATGTCTTATAGTGTAATCTGATACACTAGTATTCTCAGATACTCTAGTGGAATAATGTCTTATAGTGCAATCTGATACACTATTATTCTTAGATACTCTGGTGGAATATTGTCTTATAGTACAATCTGATACACTAGTATTCTTAGATACTCTAGTGAAATAATGTCTTATAGTACAATCTGATACACTAGTATTCTCAGATACTCTGGTGAAATAATGTCTTTTAGTGTAATCTGATACACTAGTATTCTTAGGTACTCTAGTGGATTAATGTCTTATAGTACAATCTGATACACTAGTATTCTCAGATACTCTGGTGGAATAATGTCTTATAGTACAATCTGATACACTAGTATTCTTAGATACTCTAGTGGATTAATGTCTTATAGTACAATCTGATACACTAGTATTTTCAGATACTCTGGTGGAATAATGTCTTATAGTACAATCTGATACACTAGTATTCTCAGATACTCTAGTGAAATAATGTCTTATAGTGTAATCTGATACACTAGTATTTTCAGATACTCTGGTGGAATAATGTCTTATAGTACAATCTAATACACTAGTATTCTCAGATACTCTAGTGAAATAATGTCTTATAGTGTAATCTGATACACTAGTATTTTCAGATACTCTAGTGGAATAATGTCTTATAGTACAATCTAATACACTAGTATTCTTGGATACTCTAGTGGAATAATGCCTTATAGTACAATCTGATACACTAGTATTGCTAGTAGAATGTTGTTAGTCTGGTTACTTTGGTTTTTGTGTACAGTAGAACCTTGTTAGTCTAGACACTTTGGTTTGTGTGTAAAGTAGAATCTTGTTAGTCTGGACACTTTGGTTTGTGTGTACAGTAGAACCTTGTTAGTCTGGACACTTTGGTTTGTGTGTACAGTAGAACCTTGTTAGTCTGGACACTTTGGTTTGTGTGTACAGTAAATCCTTGTTAGTCTGGTCACTTTGGTTTGTATGTACAGTAGAACCTTGTTAGTCTGGTCACTTTGGTTTGTGTGTACAGTAGAATCTTGTTAGTCTAGACACTTTGGTTTCTATGTGAAGTTGAACCTTTTTTAGAAAAGAAGTTGTGTAGTTTATAATGTCTTTAACTGGACTTTTTTTTGCGTTCATTATTTTGTGTACTTTCCAAGGAAATACATTTCATGGTTTTGTCTCCAGATAAGTTTACAAGAATTTAGGTATCCTATATCCCATGATTATGTAAAGTGTACTATTTTTAAGTCAGTGTCATGTTAGGTAATCATTTAAACGGGGCTATAACTCAAACGGGGAAAACATTTGAGGAAAAATGAATTTAAATTGCATTTTAATTTTTCACTTTTTTTTTCGGATATTAGATCATGGACATTTTTTTCAAAGACATGTAAAATGATATCAGCAATCCATATTTTCTTTTTATTAAATTTAAATTTTATAAAATTCATCTGTTGATCAATGCTGAAATGATTATAAATATTTGTTGTAAATATATATCAATGATTGGCTCATAAATAAAGGTCATGGGTGATTTTTGATGATATTCCAAAAGTCAACTAATTTTTACAGGAATTGATCATTATTTTGAACAAGATTGTGTACTGATAGTTTTATCTACCATAAACCTTTCCTGCTGTGTACGTTTTTGGAAGCAGTGTTTATGTTTATGTATTCCATGAGATGTTTCCTACGTTGGATTTTTGCTGAGTAATTATAGGCTATCCCTCAATGTACCCCAGAGTCTCGGCCACCTCTCATTGCATAAGCTTTTGTTGAAATTGTTCACTTGAGGATGAAATTTTGTTTCACCCACAACGCATTTCAAAGCTGTGTTTTGGTAGGGAAGAAAATGAAGGTAGTCATGAGTGTTGGGTATTCAGTTACCGTAACAATGTTGCCATTTAAAATGTATATTTTGTAATGTATATTATGATAAAAGCCAAGTAATTTGCATACTTGTGACCTACAGTCACCTCTTAAATAGATAAGCGTGATTTGAATATGGGCTTGCGTGCTGATCTGGAAACATATCAATTAGCCAAACCAATGTGTTTCTTTTCAATCATTATCAGATATTTCTGATGTGGTCAGATAAGAGATATGTCCATTCACCTATATTTCCTAAATAGTGAAAAGAAGAAATAAGTCTTTCACCGAGTGTTGAAAATATACCATGATTTGCTAAAATGAAAAGTTTTGATGGAATTCAATCTATAACTTGAATAAGATGATCCCCTTACCAAACAAAGGAATACCATAAAAAGACATTTACGGAAAAAAACATTCAACTCACGCACACTATCTTATTTCTGGATGAAGAATGCTGTGCTTGTTGAAAAATGAGTTTTTATCCAACTTCAAATGGGTTTAATAAACGAGGTATTAAGGAGATATATATAGATTAAATATTTATTGTTCAACTAAAAGACAAGATTTTAAAAGAAATATTGACAAGAGGACATTGTTTTAATCCTTTGTAGGTCCCTAACAGGAGAGGGAAATTTTAACTGGCGGTTTGTGTATCCATTCGAGTACCTGATTGCAGAGGAAAAAATTGTCATCTCCCGGAAAGAGTCCTTGTTTTCCTGGGATGAATCTGAGACAAAGATTCCAGCAAGACTCAACCTTCAGGTCTGGGATGCTGACCATTTCTCTGCGGATGACTTCCTTGGTAAATAAAGAATCCTTTTGTGACTGTCATTGTTACATGTATATATTTCTTTAACAATTTTAAAGACTGAAATTGGTAAATTAAATAAAAACATTGCATTTATAAGTCTGAAAATTCTTTATTAAATTCCATTGGTTAAATTATTTATATTTTTTAAATTCCATATTTTTAATTGAAAATATTTATTTAAACAAAAATAGTTGCATATTTTACGTAAATTACAAGAGGTTTTCCGTATTAATTTAATTCAAACTTCAAGTGTTACAACTCTGTTTACAGCTATATAAAATTAATTCTAAGTGAAATAAATATAATTTTATTTCATCGTTCCAATGATAATATTAATTATTCCGTTTATTTTAGGTAAGTGGTATAAAAAACGTTTTAACTGCAGGTTGAAACCTATACAAATTTTAAGCATATATACTAATCATATTATATAGCTATTGCATGAAATGATAATTTAATAAATATGTTTATTATGTTATTTAAGATATTAACTAATTATATCTTAATAACTTAAATGAAAGAAAATTCAACTTCATGAAGGAAAATTTTATTTTGAACTTTGAATTTTTGTTGTTTTTAAAATAAACTCTGATTAGAAATATTTGTGTAACATGTCAACTAGGGGTGATCCTAGACTGACACCATATGACATATAGATATATCTACAGTGTATTTATAAACGCTGCATTATGTGTTTAATTTTAAAAGATACTTATGTTTCATTTTTTGTTTGGCATGCTACTTGCTATTTTACCCAGAAAAATCGCTCTTAAAAAAAAAGAATTGATAAAATTGTTATACCAAGTAATAAAATATATATGAAATAATTCAAAGTTTGAGGATAATAGTATAAATGACTGCCATGAAAGTTATAATTGACAAAAATCACAGATTAATGTAAGTTTAGGTTTTAATGCAATAGTACAATTTTGTCACAATAATATCTTGCAAGAGCTAGTATTATGTATTGTACTGTATATGACGGTAAATACTCTCAGTATGTCTGTTACTAACCCAACAGGAGGTTCAAATATCTGTGTCCAGAGGAATAGGCTTATTATCTGTTTTCTTGAAAAATCTGCTCATTTGGATACAGTTGTAACTTAAAAGAAAAAAAACTTTATTGGGTGTGTGTTTCCGAGGATTTAAATTACTTCAAAGAGGAGTCATATTTTATAAAAACTGAAAGCACATTTTATGCAGAATGTTATTTTCAGTTTTCGACGGGAAAAATTAGCATCATTTAATTTTAATAACATTTTTAATTTAAGATCCAATTTCTATGCCATTTCTTGTTACGTTCTAAAGGCATTTCAAAATTTGAAATAGATAGACTATAATGATTAAAAAAAGTGTCAGTTTACATAATGATACTGTAATTAGAAATAAAATTGATGCACTAATCAGTTAACAAGTAAGTCAAAATAAACAAAAGCTAAATTTTATCAAAGTTTTAACTTTTTCAGTATGAACTTACCTCAAATAATATTTTACTTTTTTATCGTCATCTTCCTTTTTTCAATTGAATTGAATTAATTTTTTTTTGCAGTTCTTCATCTTAAAGCTTTTCATGTTTTTTGTAATACATTTTTTTTTTAGATTACCTTTCTCTGAATTAAAGAAAATCAATGTTTTAGTGATATTTTTTCACATTTAAATGATAACTGTTTTGTACACACTTGCATCACTGTTTGTATGAAAATAAAGAAAAAGTTGTTTTAGAAGCTACGATAAAATAAACAACAAATTTCATAGTCTGGTTTTGATAATACAGCTGTTATAAAAATTATTTCCAGTTATAAAAAAAAAAGTTCTGTGAAGACTGACGCTTCTTTCATGTTTATTTTTTGTTGAAAATTTGGAGATAAGGATAACCCAATAGCTGTTCTTTTTAAGCTGCCAGTAATGTGTTAGAATTATTTGTGAGAGAAATGGCATAATAATGAAATGCAACTAGGCTAGGGTTTTGAATTTGAAATGAACGTGATATATAATATACACTGGTAATGTATATTTCATAACATACAGGGTTACGTGGGTATCGTAATAGATATCAGACTGGATTATCACATCGTAGATTGATATCTGGGAGATTACATAAATTTATCATCACACCTTGTTGTGACATAGTTGCGGGGAATAAGAAATTTCCAGGTCAGCAACCAGGTACTTGACTACTATATACTAAATAAATACACACTTGTACAGGATTTTAATTTAATGAACGAATGTCCCTCGAGAAAATAGTATTGTTTTGGATCAGAATTTCTCTGGGAATATTTCTTTGTAGAAAATATATTCAGGGAGGTCGTTGCTTACTTTCAATTTATATTCGGTTTTCTAAATAATAAATCTGAAATACTGCAAAAATCTATTTATCGTAACTAACCAATATACAAATGCACTAGAGAAACATAAAAATGTTCCCAAACCTCAATTTATACAGTATAATTTAAATTTACAGAAATCAAGAAATTCCTGATGCAGGCTTTTTTTTTTACTAAGCTTTGCCATATTTAAATAAATATTTTTTGAGAAATTAAAACATTAAAGAAAAGTATGTTGATGCAATGGTCTTTGTTTTTAATAACAATAGTTATCAGGATTGGAAATGATCTGAGACGAAAATTATCTCAAAGAGGTTGTTCCTGCCTAGGGGCGAGATAACACTTGCCATCAAATGTTGAAACAAAATGTAGATATATATATAGAATGACTCATACTGGTTGTATAGGGAATTTAGTTGCCAAGATATGATCATCTCCCAAACATTCATAGTTGCCCGTCAGATCAACCAGAAGCTGGCAGAAATTTTGTTTTCTTTTCGCGTTTACAAGACTCTTCATACCAACGAGTTTTGGAATCAACTGATAAACCGTATTTATTCAAACGAACACCATCCCGCTAAACTAGCTCAATTAGTGGGTACAGGAAGCAGTGAACGGCCAGGGCTGTTGGTACCTCGTGCTGGGCCTATGATAACAACCCTTGTCGACTCATCATAGCACCAATCACTCAGATTTCGAGAGAAACATCTCACAGAGAAAAGCAAAGTTGTTACTATGTTGAAAATAAACAATACGACTGTGTTTTATCAGTAGACACATAAGCATTACATTGATATACCTTATCTAGCTGAGGAGGTCGACCCATTCCGGTCAGTTTATCTAATTATTACAAACAACTTTCATGTAATTATATGCTTCTTAGGATTTTTATATACCAAACAAAAAATCAATTAAAAATTATGAAGTTTATTCCAAAAAAAGTAAGATTCTCATTCACAAATTATTGCTGATTTAAGGATTTTGCCGCATTATGACTTTAAGATTATCTGAGTTTAAATAAAAGGCTATATGTAGCGTATGGAAATGTTTTACTATATGAATCAAATCAAGAAAGCATCAGACTAAATGATAATAATATCAAAGAGTTTCATAATAGAAACTTATAGATTATAGTGGTATCAATGTCAACTGAAATATACAATTTTAGAATTAAAATAAATTCATTGTTTTTGTTGTATGTAAGGCTGCTTGTTACGTAATTGTGATATTGTTAATTATTTGAGCTGTAGTAGAAGTCATGTTTTAATGCCTCCGCTAGGAGTTGAACCCAGAACTAGATAACTAGTCCAGTGCTCTACTGCTTGAGTTAAAGGGCGAATTCCCTCCAGCTGTGTCAGTAAGCAGCGACTGTATAGTTCATCACTCTGACTAAATTGTCTCTGTATCCTTTAAAATGCCTTTCGTCATTCCTTGAAGAAAATTGTTAGATAGTATGTTCTAAATACTCCAAGTGCTCTCCCTCATCCGCTTGTGTTATTACTTCCCCTTGTTGTTGTTACCTCCCTTTGATGATATTACCTACTTCCCTTTCTAGTCTGAACCTGGCCCACCATGATCATCCATTGTTTCATTCCATAACTCCTTAAATATCCACTGATGCCTTGGTTGCTATGAAATTTTTGATGTGTAACTTTGACCTATTGTTTTACAGGTGCCCTGACCCTTGACCTGAACCGGTTCCCCCGCGGAGCTAAGTCAGCCAAATTGTGTTCCCTGGACATGCTGAAGACCGATGGAAGTGTGCCACAAATGTCACTCTTCAAACAGAAGAGGGTCAAGGGATGGTGGCCTTTTGCCGTCAAGAGTGATGGAGAAGACGAATATGAACTGACAGTGAGTTTACTCTCAATTTTGTGAGAATTCAGTATTGATTGTTTGTTTTATCCTTGTTTTGTTTTTAGATTTTCTTTCTAATTTCCCAACTTTTGGTTAAATTGATCTGCACATGACCATTGTTGACATCTGTGACCTTTTTTGGGTCGCCAAGGCAACCAAAAGAATCAAACCAACTGTTCCACTTGTTTTATTTTCATACAAATAAAAAAAATTGATGGATGGATGGATGGATGACGGGTTTCGGGCCTGCATGAATCTGCCCTTACAGGTTTCATCTCTCTGACGGAAGTCAGTGTTCAGTCGGCGTGAGGGAAGTTGCCTTCCCTCGGGGGGTGGTTTGGAGTCGTCTATTCTATCCTATCCTTATCTTGTGGTGTAATTTGGAGACGACTCCTTGGTCCGAAATGGTGTGGTTTGCTGGATGTTGTATCTGTGGTTGTTGATCCTTACTAATGTATTTGTGTCGTTGAGGGGACTCGAAATTGGCAAATGTGGCTTATATTAATGTATATATGTATTTAAAAAAGAAAAATATTTGTCTATTTTTAAAGTGTATTTATTGCATATATTCCTGTTCTTATAGGGAGGTATATATATTATATTTGTTATGTACCTCGGGTCTCTTACTGCCGGTTGAGCCCGACAGTAGGGAAACGTCTCTGCTTCCGTTAGGTACAGTACTTTGTTTCTTTGTCAGACTTGGCCGGAGTTTGAGATTATCCGAGGGGTCCCTATGATGTATGCAGATATTTACCCTTAATTCTTTGGTGTGTGTCTTTACAAAAAGTTGGACCCTCCTACACGGGAAAAAAAAAAAAAAAACACTTTGAAACACAGACGTTTCTTTAGCAGCAATTTTTTCAGTTCTGGAAAGTGATATTCCTTGAGATGCTGTTGAGTCTTATATGCATGTTCAGTAGATATAATTATTTATCACCAGTTTATTCACATTTTCCTCCTTGCTAGCACTACTAGTTCACATGAATATATTGTAATTAGAATTTTGAACAGCTCACTTAGCTAAATAGGATTTTATGGTCTTCACCAATGAGCATTTTGCTGCCTTTTACATTGTCATTTACTTGCCAGACCAGTAACGTAGTCAGATAGTTACTTCACTCCGAGGGACATGTCATTTAATAGCCAGACCAGCACCGTAGTCAGATAGTTACTTCACCCCGAGGGACATGTCATTTAATAGCCAGGCCAGTACTGGAGTCAGATAGTTACTTCACTTCGAGGGACATGTCATTTAATAGCCAGAACAGTACTGTAGTCAGATAGTTACTTCACTCCGAGGGGCATGTCATTTAATAGCCAGACCAGTACAGTAGTCAGATAGTTACTTCACTCGCGGGACATGTCATTTAATAGCCAGACTAGAACCGTAGTCAGATAGTTACTTCACTCGAGGGACATGTCATTTAATAGCCAGAACAGTACTGTAGGCAGATAGTTACTTCACTCCGAGGGAGGTGTCATTTAATAGCCAGACCAGTACGTATACCGTTGTCAGATAGTTACTTCACTCCGAGGGGCATGTCATTTAATAGCCAGACCAGTACAGTAGTCAGATAGTTACTTCACTCGAGGGACATGTAATTTAATAGCCAGACCAGTACCGTAGTCAGAGAGTTACTCCGAGGGACATGTCATTTACTAGCCAGACCAGTACCGTAGTAAGATAGTTACTTCACTCCGAGGGACGGGTCATTTAATAGCCAGACCAGTACCCTAGTCAGATAGTTCCTTCACTCCGAGGGACATGTCATTTTATAGCCAGACCAGTCCCGTAGTCAGATAGTTACTTCACTCGAGGGACATGCCATTTAATAGCCAGACCAGTACCGTAGTCAGATAGATACTTCACTCCGAGGGACATGTCATTTTATAGCCAGACCAGTCCCGTAGTCAGATAGTTACTTCACTCCGAGGGGCATGTCATTTAATAGCCAGACCAGTCCCGTAGTCAGATAGTTACTTCACTCGAGGGACATGTAATTTAATAGCCAGACCAGTACCGTAGTAAGATAGTTACTTCACTCCGAGGGACGGGTCATTTAATAGCCAGACCAGTACCGTAGTCAGATAGTTACTCCGAGGGACATGTCATTTACTAGCCAGACCAGTACCGTAGTCAGATAGTTACTCCGAGGGACGTGTCATTTACTAGCCAGACCAGTACCCTAGTCAGATAGTTACTTCCCTCGAGGGACATGTCATTTGATAGCCAGACCAGTACAGTAGTCAGATAGTTCCTCCGAGGGACGTGTCATTTGCTAGCCAGACCAGTACTGTAGTCAGATATTTACTTCCCTCCGAGGGACATGTAATTTAATAGCCAGACAAGTACGTATACCGTAGTCAGATAGTTGCTTCACGCCGAGGGGCGTGTCATTTAACAGCCAGACCAGTACCCGAGTCAGATAGTTACTCCGCGGGACGTGTCATTTACTAGCCAGACCAGGACCGTAGTCAGATAGTATCTTCACTCCGAGGGACATGTAATTTAATAGCCAGACTAGTACCGTAGTCAGATAGGTACTTCACTCCGAGGGACGTGTCATTTCCTCCGAGGGACGTGTCATTTACTAGCCAGACCAGAACCGTAGTCAGATAGGTACTTCACTCCGAGGGACGTGCCATTTACTAGCCAGCCCAGTACCGTAGTCACATAGTTACTTCACTCAGAGGGACGTGTCATTTACTAGCCAGACCAGAACCGTAGTCAGATAGGTACTCCGAGGGACGTGCCATTTACTAGCCAGCCCAGTACCCTAGTCAGCTAGTTACTTCACTCCGGGGGACATGTTATTTAGTAGCCAGACCAGTACCGAAGTCATATAGTTCCTCCGAGGGACGTGTCATTTGCTAGCCAGACCAGTACTGTAGTCAGATATTTACTTCACTCCGAGCGACATGTCATTTAATAACCAGACCAGTACCGTAGTCAGATAGTTACTTCACTCCGAGGGACATCGACACAACCACTGAATCTAAGCCACAAAAATATTATAAAACAAAACATGATTCCTAAGTCTACTTCAGTTTCCTTCAGAAATGATAACTGTATAAAGTAAACATAAAAATAAAAAAATAAATCATAAATAAAAGTTTAAAAAACCAAATACTCACGGATATTACTTTTTGTTTTTTAAGTTCCTCACTGAGTTTTGCAATATTCAAGCTAAAAATTGCATATGTGATACTTGACAGGCTTTCAATATGAAAATCAAAACGTTTCCGAAAAAGAAACCTTAATTTATTGCTGTAGTATTTTAAGAATTTTGTTGGAATGAGATCATACATCATTGTAAATTGATTCTGATCTGGTGTAGTTGCTATGGTGATGGGGAAAATCCAATACACTAATGTAACATCTATTGTTGCCATGACAATTTGAATATTATTTCAGAAAGGATGGAAACTCCAAGTAAGTTGTTCCTAAAGCACAAACTGACTGCATCTTATATTTATGTACATGCCTGGACAGTTTATCTGGGCCATGGTGAAGGGGTCACTTACATCTGCACACCTGGACCTACTATGTAGGTCAAAGGGGTTGACATATTTTACCTTGTAGACTGCTTGAATTGGTATCTATTTTTAGCATCTATATCACATGACTTAGTACATTCCATTTCTACTACAGATGTCAGTACTGTACCTGGCATGAAACCAAATGGTGAATAGGGATTTCTTACGTATTTCTTTGTAGAATATTTAAAGTTAATGTAGAATATTCAATTTATAGGTTTAGAAGTTTTTTTACAGGTTTCATTACGGAGATATTTGCAAACTTTCAATATTTTGTTAGTGTTTTCCTAGTATGATATAAAACTGACCCAATATTAGAGTATAGATATTTTCAATGTCCAGTTTGATATTCTCCCCTCATTGTGATCTTCTGAAATCATGTTTCATGTTGAAGAACTTGACTCATGTCAGTTATCCAGTGTAGCTGGAACAAAGTCTTGACTGAAAACTTCACTGTTAAACTTGAGGAACATTCACCAGACAATAAGCCGAAGATATTCTGCATTTTCAAAGAATAAAAAAATAAAATGAAGAAGAGCTCCCATTTATTGTTATTGACCTGCATTTCTTGTTATGATGCGTTAAAAATTAAAAATATTGCATCCAATCAATCTGACATCATTTTCGAATCTCTTTGCATTCTTATATTCTTCAAAATCCCATCCTAATAGCCCGTTTAAACCTAAGTTTCTTTCTGTAGCACAGAACTGGTCTACTTTCCAATTCAAGGGTCCTCAGGTTTTAGACATAGTCCCTGGGTCATAACTTTGAAACGGTTGAGATTCCCACCCCAAAACTATATATATACAAATGCTGGGTATAAAGAGACGAATGCAGTCATGATATTAGAATAGACTCTGTGGTCTGACCAATCCCCTAGGGACCTAGTTCCTGAGTCACAGCTTGGAAACAGATGAGACCCCCACCCTATAACCATGTATACAATTGCTGAGTATAAAGAGATGAATGCACATACGCTTCCAGGATGGCCTCGGGGTCTGCCCCACCTCTGGAGACTTAGTCCCTGGGTCATAACTTTGAAACAGTTAAGATCCCCACCCCAAAATTATATGTACAATTGTTGGGCATAAAAAGACGAATGCAGTCATGATATTAGAATCGACCCAAGGGTCTGCCACACCCTTGCAGACTTTACCCCTGGGTCATAACTTTGAAACGGTTGAGATCCCCACCCAAAACTATATATACAAATGCTGGGCATAAAGAAATAAATGCAGTCATGATATTAGAATTGAATATGGGGTCTGGCTACAACCCTAGAGACCTAGTTTCTGAATCACAGCTTGGAAACAGTTGAGACCCCCACCCCCTAACCATACATAAATTTGCTGGGCATGAAAAATCTATTACAGATATGCTACAAGGATTGGCCTTGGGGTCTGGCCTATTCCCTTGGATCTCATTTGGAGAAGATTTTGCCATGATTGCTTAGATATCCA